TCTAATCATGTTATTACCGGTAGCATTGTTCGTTCGCCTAACAAAAGTAAGACCGATAAGCGGATCAGATGTTACAACAGAGCCAATAGACCCTTTCAGCAATTGCGCGCCATCTACCGGCATGATTTCAAAACGTCTTGCAAGGGGCGTGGCCAGCGTGGCAGCGAGCGTGGCCGCCATCAACATGTACCGTCGCGTAGTCGCATAGCTGCTGCCGCAGCACCCCGGCTGATACCACGTTGCATTTGCGATGCCTTTCCACTGCTGCGTACCGCTGTGCAAGCGAAAAGGACTGAAAGACGCATCTGGAAAAAAGGTAAGACCGTTTGAGTATAAAAACTAAAATATTCTCGCGTGGGAAATAATCCCTTCCCGCTGCTCGCGTTGAAGCAGCGCAAGCGAGTAGTTTTACACATTGGAAACCGCTCTGAAGTAGTCAAACGTAAAATAGATGGTGGCAGGACGATCTCTCAGTTGTTTATCAGTAGTCTCGCCTCCAATGCGAGCTTTCTACCTTTGATAACGCGATTAAAGAGGCCGTGAACGCGTCGGCGTTTCGCGAGCGTCGAGCGTGCACGCGCAGCCGGAGCACGGCGAAATGCAATGAGTGCGCGCAGGATAACCGGCGTTCGGAAGAAACGCCCTATAGTTTTATCCCTGTCCGGGACTGTACTCCGTTCACCCTTAAGCTGAGACTGCAGCCATTCCCGCAAGCACGAGCGCTTGAGGTCGCTGCTTTGAAGCCTTCTTCCGCAGAACGAGCACTTGCACTGCACGTCTCAAAGCCAGGAGCGCGGGCTAGCTCGCGCTTGTAGCTTTGACTGCGCGCCACTTTACGAATGCGTTGTTTAGAGGAGCACTCGCTGATTTAGCAGGCTTAGCGCCTCGTGTTGCTTTGTCGAGCGCTTGCGTGGGAAAGTTGCGAGTGGAGCATGGCGTGGGAAAGTTGCGAGTGAAGCGGCACCTGATGAACAGGTGCCGGACATTTCATCGAACGCCGTTTCATCCAACAAGTAAAGATTTCATCGAACGCCGTTTCATCGAATTTCACTTCACCGAAATTAGGAGCATTAGCGGGCTTTTAGTTGTTTAAATATCCCTACCACCCTTTTCACTTCACCAAAAGTTTGGGCACTGAATCATAAGAAGAGCCAAACTTGACTGGGTATGTGACATACATTTTTCAGATAAGACAAGCAGCTGTTCTCCACCACATATTTTGCTGCCTCCTTATCCTCCTATATGCTTATGCATTAAAAGTACTTCCTGGAAGCAGATATAACTATCTCCGCTGCGCCTTTATTTTGTGTTTATCTGTTCAGTAGTGTTTTCATTCTAACCTGTTGAGAATAGCTCTTTCTAAGAACGCAGCTGAAAGGCCAGGAAATCTGCGGTTCGGTCGATTATGAAAGTGCACAAAGAGGAGAGACATCTTTTATTTCATGAGACATAACGCTTCAATGACGAGGTTACACTATTGGAGTTGGAGAGACAAAACTTTGTCACGACACCCAATAATCACAGGTTTACAAAAATGTCGTCGGTGTTCCTCTTTTATACTAGCCACATTAACAGCACAAGCCTTCGGTGCCCATGAAAAAAAATAGAATAGCGAAAATAGTTTCTTACTGCGAGCTCCACACCACACGGAATAAAGTTCATAAATCATAATGACGATTATAACACTGGTATGTCCTTCGGTGTTACAAGTATTTCCTAGATTAAGAATTCCTACTGCTCAACTAGGCAGTGTTCTATAAAACGGCTTCGGTGAAATAGCATTTAATGAAACGGTGTTCAATGAAATTGGCATGTAATAATGAAATGCCCGTACTTGTGATAAATGGATAAATGGACATAATTTTCCAGAATCTACAGAGATTCTGGAAAATTATCAATCCTTCTTCAAAGAAAAGTCCGATCATCTCAGATCCGACTGGAAAGCAGCTGACTGAAAGTGATGTATGTGACAGATTTAATGAATACTTCAGTAGCGTCTTCACTCGCGAAACTTTCCCCATGCCGCAATTAGCTTCTCAGGACGCACTTGGCGAAATGGGGTCAATAACTATTTCTTCTGAAGGAATATCAAAATTAATAGAGCAACTTCCAGTCAGCTCTGCTCGTGGTCGCGACGGGATAAACAGTAAGATTTTAAAAATTACTAAGCACATCTCGTCCCTGTACCTGGGTAAAATTTTCAACCAATCACTTATTACTGGTATGATTCCCAATGACTGGAGACATGCAGACGTCATTCCAATTTTTAAGTCTGGGTCATCTGACGATCTGAGCAATTACAGGCCTATTTCTTTAACAAGTGTATGTAGTAAGCTCCTTGAACATATTATTTTTACAGCTATAATGCAGTTTCTTGATATCAATAATGTATTATTTTCTAACCAGCATGGATTTCGTAGGAATCGATCATGCACAACACAGCTTTTCGAGCTAGTAACCGATATTCACAGTAATCTTAACTTACGAAAACAAACAGACGCTCTCTTTATAGACTTTTCGAAAGCTTTCGAACGTGTGCCACACTACAGACTTATAGTAAAATTACAAATCTTGAAAATTAATGCAACTGTAGTAAATTGGATAAAAATTTTTCTCACGACTAGAACCCAATCCGTACGTCTAGGTGAAACATCTTTACAATCCTTAGCAGTTATTTCAGGCGTACCATAGGGTACTGTACTGGGCCCATTGCTCTTCCTTATTTATATAAATGATATCGGTTATCGCCTGAGGAGCTGTGTTCGTCTGTTTGCTGACGGTCTTGTTGTTTATCACGCTATTTGCAGTGAAGATGATTGCCTAACATTACAAGAAGACCTATCCCTAATTGAAACCTGGTGTGCCGAGTGGCTTATGTCCATTAATCATAATAAATGTAAATGTGTATCTTTTTCTAAATCCCGTAATCCAGTAGATTACACCTATCAACTTGCATCCCAGCCCATTGAAAATGTTTCATCTTTTAAATACCTTGGCGTGCACTTCAGCTCTGACCTTTCATGGAGAACTCATATTGAACACATAACTTCCAGTGCTAATAAAACTTTAGGTTTTCTAAGACGCCATCTTAGTCAAGCTTCACCGGAAATCAAACAGCTGTCGTACTGCACCCTTGTTAGATCCAAGATGGAATACGCTTCTACAATTTGGAACCCCCATCAGGCGTACCTATCCGACATATTAGAATCAATCCAAAACCGCGAAACTAGATTCATTCTTGCTGACTACTCACCCACGAGCACCTCTGCCCTTAAGGCTTCTTTATCACTACCTCTCCTTAATACTAGACGCACCCTAGATAGATTATCCTTTTTTCATAACCTGTTTTACAAGCCCTGGACTGATCATGAATTCTTCTCTTCAGCCAGTCATGTCTCCCTACGCCGTGATCATTGCCAGAAGATAGAAATGCCCTTTGCCAGAACCAACATTTTAAAAAAACTCTCCCCCTTTTTGTGTATACGGGATTGGAATGCGCTACCTAAGTCCATTGTAACAATTACAGATCATACCTTGTTTTTAGCAGAACTTACTAAGCATATGTTTGTATAATGAAGATATTGCACTGTAAAATAACAGATGTTCTTTCAACCCATTTGTCCCTACATTTGATTTCAACCCTTGAAGTGTTATATTGTGTTTTATGTTACCCCCCTTATGTAATGCCCCCAGGGGCCTTTAAGGTATAATAAATGAAATGAAATGAAATGTTGCTGCTTCGAGATATGTCTAGCACGACAATATTTGGGCATTTATTATGACAACTTGCAAATTTGTGTATTCGCTTCTTTCCAGGTGTCCCTTTTCGCTTTCCCATCCCATCCAGTTGTCCGTAAAATTGGGTGATTGCGGTAAAACGTGATGAAGGAAAATACTTCACCATCACAATGTATACGAAGCTTTGCTGGGGTAACTTCCACAAGAGCGATTACCTTCCCAACGTCGCTGGTAACCGCCGCTACTTGAAACAACAAGCTGTGCCGAGCGTGTTCACCTTCAACGTCTCGAAGAAGCTTCAAGAAAGAAACCCTGTGAACGACAACCACTGCCAGTGGTGCAAAGGATTTCCATTGTTGATGACAACGTGACGAGCGAAGCACTCCTCAAGGTGATCAGCGAAGACGCATTAGGCGAAGCAACAAGCAAGGAGGAGGCAAGTGCCGTAATCACTGATCTGACCAGTGAAGACCCTGCAGGTGAATCCACATGTCAAGAGGAGGCAAGCAATGCAGTCTCCGATGTCAACAGCATCACCATGGAAGACTTGACGGGTCATGTAACCTATAACACAGACAGCGCAGTCAATGAAGAGGCTCCCATCGGCCCAGTCGCCAACAACGCTAGTGACGAGTGTGCATGCCAGATTGCTGCACGTGGCCCAACTCATTTCATGCACATGGATCGGCTCGAAAATCTACAAAAACAGACAGAGTCACAGGCAAAGCTGATCCAAGATCTCAAGCTACACCTCGAGAGGTACAAGGAACAACTCAGAGAAGCTGAAGATGCCCTGTCTAAGGCCCAGTCAGAGCTTAGCAGTGCCCTGGCTAAATGCAAAAAGTTTGACGATCCAGAAAAAGAGCTCCAAAGAACAAAGCAGGCTCTTTTCAAAAATCAAAGAGAACTTGAGGTCGCATTGGCACAATGCAGTGCTCTCGAGGCAAGGGCAAGCAGAAAATTTTCTATTGAGTGCTTTAAGGACAGTCCAGCTGATGTCCAGTTTTATACTGGCCTCTTAAACTACAATGACTTCATGAAGCTCTGGCAGTTTGGGCTCCAGGAGAAAATGAAGAAAACATAATATTCTGGTCTACAACATATAGTGGAAAGGCCACAAATGCTGGTAGGCATCCAATCTTGTCGTCAAGAGAGCAGCTATTTTTATTGCTTGACCGCCTTCGTCTCGGTCTTTTTGAAAAGGATCTTGCATATCGCTTCAGAGTATCCGTGGCCACAGTCTCAAAAGTGTGCATCACTTGGATCAGCTATATGTATGTCCATCTTGCACAGCTCGATCTGTGGTTGTCCAGAGCAGAAGTGGATGATGCCATGCCTCCAGCCTTCAAGGAGCGGTACTCATCCACCCGTGTCATCCTTGATGCTACAGAGGTCCAGTGTGAGGCTTCAAGCTCGGTCGTGCTCCAGTCGTCGACATTCTCAAGCTACAAGTCAACAAATACCTTTAAAGGGCTCATTGGGATTTCTCCAGACGGAACGGTAACCTTCGTCTCCCAACTATTTACGGGGTCTATCTCCGACAAGGAATGCGTGGAGAAAAGTGGCTTTCTCAAGCTTGCTTTCGACGATGGAGATTCCATCATGGCAGACAAGGGTTTCAAGATTGAAGACGACCTAAAGAAAATCAATGTGAGGCTGAACATCCCTCCTTTCCTTCGGAAAGGACACTTCACGAGTGAGGAAGTAAAGGAGACCGAAGCGATATCTTCACTACGCATCCACGTAGAGCGCCGTATTCAACGGATCAAGAACTTTCACATCTGTGACAGGCCAATTTCTATTTCAATCGCTCCAGTAGCCAGCGAGATGTGGACAGTTTGCGCCATTCTCAGCAATTTCCAGAGTCCCCTCATCAAAAGCTGCAGCAACGAGTCTATTTAGGGTAAAAAAAAAATAATGAATTCGAGACAGAGTAGGTGAAGCAGTTTAATAAATGTTTCGCTCCTCATGCGGAAGGAATAACCAGTAATAGAAGGAGCAGGAAGCTCATTATCTTCTGCATTACAGTGATGTCTTGTTATGCAAGTGATTATTTGGTCACTCAGAGATGACTACTGTTAGAAATAAACGAAATTCTTATAAAACATGTATAAATCATTTCATCAGGGCACAAGGTAGACTCATTACATGTTATCACTTTATTTACGGAAGCCATTCTTTAATGGTTGGAGACTGCATATTTTTAGGATATGAAAGAGATCCGCATGCCTACATTTCCACAAGCAAGTTAATAATCTGTTGCAATATTTAAAAAAATAGTTCTGTAACCTAATTCCTACCTAAATTAAAACACTGAATGAAAAGCATGTGTCACAAGACTACTGACAATATACAGAAAAAGTCAGACAAGAAATGCCTCTTGTGCTACCATGCGCAACAGTTGCTCAGCAAGCTCCCATAAACAAGTAGGTGCTGCAGGCGTCATATAATGATATCATACAATATTATTAGGAGATCATGGTATACAGCAGGGAAAAGATTGGAACACTAACGTGTTCTATACCACCATCTCGTAAGTTGAGTGCATTGCTATCAAATGCATGGGCACAAAGAGTGGTTCTATACAGTACTTGCCATTAGAAAGCGATGTTCTTTGCAAGTTTGTGCAAATAAAGTGCTGAAGAGAGATGTTCTTGTACGTGTCTATTTGAGTGTAGTGCGCACAGCTTCTGAGATGGGAGTATAAAGGATATTCTAAAATAATGAAAAAATGTAAGTGTCTACATATCAGTGTCGCATAGTAAAACCACAAAGAATGCCAGTAGAATGATACTGTTCACCGTGTGCCTTCAAAAACCAATGGCGTGCAAAATGTAGTTGTGAGATTTGTACGGCGTAGCGTTCGGGACCAAGTCTTGCAAAAGGCAAAGAAACATAGGCTCACGAGTGCTGACCTTGGTTTTCATGGTACTGAGCCTATCTTTGTGAATGAGCATTTGTGTCTCGAAAATAAGATCTTACTGAGCAAAACGATTCGTTGCAAAAAAGAAAAAGGATGGAAGTTTGCCTGGGTTTCTCAAGGAAAAATTTTCATGCGAAAAAATGAAAACAGTGACGCTCTTCAGATAACCTGTGATAGTGACCTTTCCAGTGCAGCGTAGACGGTTATCTGTCTCGAAACGGCATTTACTTTTATTTGTTTTTTATTCATGGCTCAGCACGTTTTCACGCCACTTGAATTGTGTGAGTTTCTAGACGATAAACGTACCGTTTCTGATACGTACTTCCATATGAATGCGAGATCAATAAAAAATAAACACGATGAATTAAATACATTGTTTGGCGAAATCGGACCACATTTAACTGTTATCATGTTTTCCGAAACGTGGTACAGGAGTAGTTCGGACTATTATATTTTACCGGACTATAATCATCTTTGCATGGATAGATGCGATCGAAGAGGTGGTGGCGTTGCCATGTTGCTGAAAAAACATATGGGTTATGAAGTATTAAAACAATTTTCTAAAATAACCGAATGGTATGAAGCTTTGACAGTGATTGTAAACAATGTACTATTCTCAGTTGTCTATCGCCCTCCGGGTGCAAGTTCAGCGGCTTTCCTTGAGTTTTTCGATGGTTTATGCGGGTTTATTATTGATAATAACTACAAGTCTTATATTGCTGGTGATTTTAACATCGATGTCCTTAGTCAGAACAACCTGAAATCACTCTTTACTAATCAATTTCAGTCTTGTGGTTTTTCAAACGTTATTACAAAGCCAACTAGAGTGACTAGTACCTCAGTTTCCCTTCTCGACTTATTTATTACGAACTGTGAACATTCAGTACTTTCTGCCGGTGTCATTTCATCAGATATCAGTGATCACCTTCCAATTTTTATAACTGTGCAAAAACAGTGTGCTAGCAAACTTGTCACTAGCTCAACGCTCAACATGTATCAGCCAATTTCACAACGTCAGCTGAACGCGTTTAGGTATGAAATTGAGCGCACAAATTGGAGCTTCATTTTGAAAATTCAGTCGGTAAACCAGGCCTATAACACTTTTTTGGACACTTACATCGGCATATATAATAAGCATTTCCCATTCAAAATCTTAAAACCATCGAGGCATTCTCGCAAACCTTGGGTTACACCTAAACTTCTAACTATGATTCGCACAAAAAATAATTTATACGGGAGGTTTTTGAAATCTAGGGATAATGTTGCACTCGAAGTGTTTAAAAAGTACAGGAATCAGCTGACAGCCATGTTGAAACAAGCAAAAAAGCAATATTATGTTCATATGTTTAGTGTTGACGATATGCGGAGAGCCGATATAATCTGGCGCAAGCTAAGATGCGTAGTTAATTATAAACCACAAACTGCCACCCCGCTCGAACTTAATATAAACAATACTCGTGTTTCAGGGTCAGATATGACAAACGCGTTTAATGAACATTTTGTAAAGTCTTCGACCTCTTCAGTCTCCACACCCCTTACAAGTAACGCAATTGAATATATGCCCGTACCTTTACCAAATTCTATATTTTTATTCCCCACTGATATTACTGAAGTACAAAATATATTTATGAGTTTGAAAAACAGTAATAGTCTTGATGCCTATAATATGCAAATAAAGCCAGCCAAATTTGTTATAGATATTCTAGCGCCATATTTAACCCATATTTTCAACCTCGCATTAGAGACTGGTGAGTTCCCTGCCAAAATGCAGCTAGCCAAAGTGAGCGTTTTACATAAAGGAGGAGAGTTAGGCAATATTAATAATTTTAGACCCATTTCTATACTTCCAGTGTTTTCCAAACCGCTTGAAAAACTAATTTCTGTGAGAATTACCTCGCATCTTGAAAAATACAGTTTAATAACTGAGTCTCAATTTGGTTTCCGTCAAAATCGTTCTACCGAATTTGCTTTATTAAAACAGAAGGAATTGATATTAAAAGCACTAGACAATCGTTTATTAACTATTGGAATTTTTCTAGACTTTTCTAAAGCTTTCGACACAATAAATCATGACATACTTCTTGCAAAATTAACATGTTTTGGAATTCGAGGTAACACGTTAAAGTTATTAAAATCATATTTGCAGCATAGAACTCAATTCGTAGTTATATCTAACTTTAAGTCGCATATTCTAAATATAACCAGTGGCGTTCCCCAAGGTAGTATATTAGGCCCATTACTTTTTACTATTTATATAAATGACATTGTTAACGTAAATCGCGACCCTGACATCGAGTTTATTATCTATGCCGATGATACTAGTATTTTTTTTCCTGGGCGAGATATTAATACACTTGTAGCCAAATGTAACAACTTGCTTGATAAAATCAATAGATGGACGACGAGCAATCTGCTTAAACTAAATTCACAAAAAACCAAGGCCATCATATTCAGCAGTTCCAATATTCCAGTTGTGATCTCAAGCCCCGTGGTTTTAAACAACGAAGAAATTGAATTCGTAGATAAAATTAAAACTTTGGGTATCTGGTTTACTAAAACTATGTCCTGGACCGCACATGTTGATTTTATTCTATCCAAATTATCAAAAACAGTTGGATTACTCATAAAATTTAAGTCGTTGTTACCTCAATCTGTAAAGCTTTTACTTTATAACTCATTGGTATATTTGCAGTTTAATTATTGTCACCTTGTGTGGGGCAATACGACAAAAGCAAACATGAACAAGCTGTTTATTTTACAAAAGAAAGCTGTGCGCGCTATCGCTAATTGTTCATATTATCACCATACCGAACATTTGTTTTCTTCGTTAAAAATTAAACCTATTCAAAATATCTATGAATATAAGCTTTTAGTCACGTATAAGAAATCATTGCTGATTACAGATAGCTTTTTTATGCGTCTATGTAGTCTTGTCCCATTCACTTCACCATATCAACTTAGACCAAAAGAAAAATGGTTTGTTGCACCATCACGCACGTTGTATTTTAATCAAACATTAAATTACCAGTTAACTACTCTATTAAATTACTTATTTACCAAAGAAATTGATATCGATGGGATGACACTGACTGAGGTACGAAAATGTTTTTGATTTTCTTTTTCTTTGTATTGAAAAGTCCCGTATGTGTATAATTATATTTATATCTATTTTTCTTAGCCGTATGTGTGTAATTATATTTATATGTATTTTTCTTCGCCTGCTGTAAGAGGGGGCTCGGACCTTCGTCAAGCTGCAGTTGCAGCTTTTTGTCCATGTCCCCTGTTTTCGTCTCCGAAACGAAATAAAGAGATTTATTATATTATTTGAGTGTGGGGGGCAAGATAGACGGCACCAGAAAGGAAAAATGAACACAGAATAAAATATATGAATACATTAAAAGAGCAGAGCTACTCTTCGAGCGAAAGTGAGTCGGGAAGATGAGATCACTGAGGCGCATGCCATTTCTATAGCGCTTGAGACATGGGAACCGGGACCTGTAGCCTGCGGGCCACATCCCAGCGAGTCGCAGGCCGTGCATTTGAGACCCCTGGATTACATTAAAGGTGCACTGAACCACAGAGCAACAGTGTATTTATGATCATAACTCAATCTATGGGCTCTAAGCATCCTAAAGAACCAAACATTATATTCATGCGTGGCTGATTTCTCTATTAAAATCTGTATCGAAGATCAAAGACCTCGGAGCTATTGCAGACACCAGAGGGCACTGTCGGACAAGGAGAAGTTGTAGAGGGGATTAAAAAAGAAGCTCTTCTTGTTTGACGCAACCCTCTGGTGTCTGCGATAGTTCTGAAGTCTTTGATCTTTGATACCGATTTTAATAATGAAATCAGTCGCGCATGAATGTATGTCCGATTTTTTATAATGCTTAGAGCCCAAAGAGTGAGTTATAACCATAAATAGAGTACCTCAGGAAGTGGTATAATGCCCTGTTAAGGGTGGTAGGAGTGTTAAAAAAAAAGAATGAAGAAAGAAAATGTTACATTTACATGTTGCGCTTCTTTACTAGATAGGGCAGCAGAGTATTGAAGTAAAACTTCTCCAATGTCTCCTTACAACTTGTCCAATCGGAAAGCGAAAATTCAATTCTCTCGACAATCAAAAAGTTCTTACTGTATACTACAAAATCTCCCCAGGCCTGGCCTGACAGAGCCATCTGCCCTAAAAGTTGATAGTAGTAGTTATGCTCTCGGTTGAGCCTGTACACCCCCGCCGTATCCTTAGCCATGCAAAAACTCGAGGAGTCTGGAGTGGCGGCAAGCCACATGCTGTAAGGGCATATGACTTCTACCACCCCATGAGGTATGGCCTCGGTAGAATCAAAGATCATTCTGTCGGGTGAAGCTCCCAACCATGGGGAACGGGGATCTACGACCAGACCGCAGCAAGATGTCTGGATGTTGTGCCCACGGTGACGCAGAACTTTTTCATATTCCGCCACTGCCTGTGGCTCATGAGTGATGCCATGCCTGCGCGAAGTACATGTGTTGTGAATTATAAATGGATATCCCTGCAGGTGAACAAGCATTTTTCCTACAAAAGATGCAAGAACCACTGTTAACCCTTTGATTCAGTCTTTAAAGGCGACTGCCGAGATTTTTTCACCTGCGTGCACCTCACGTGAAAGATTTTTCTGCATTCCGAATGCACATTTCAGTCCCAACAACACCATAGCATGCTTTATAACACATATTTGCTTCTCTAATACACACTTATTTATGGACACAATGGTAAAAAATGTCTGCATGCCTTTAACGTAGGACATTTTTCTCGTGCTGTAGTTTTCAAAACATGGTACTACGCTAAATAACTTCAACCTCACAATCTGAGGGTGCAAGTCTTGGTTGGCCTTACTCTGCATTTTCTTTGTCCAAGCTGTGACTCATTTTCACAGTGGAAGGATCAAGGGTCCATTAGTAATTTGTAGATCTGTGTTTTCCAGAAACTGTAAGGTTCACCAGCAAAGATCACTATTCTCGAGCAACGAAAGAGCAAACAAACAGAAGTCGACAAAACAAACTTTTCCTTGGCAAAGAAAGGCGACACCATAGAACAAAGAATTAAGCCATGTA